GGGTGGCGGGGTGGGGAACAGCCCATCCCAGAGCTGGCTTGTCCCTCTTTGCAGGGGTTCTATTTGCAGCTCTTTGCAAGCCTTGCCGGGGTCCCGGAACTGTGCCTGCCTAGGGCTTTCCTGACATTGTGGAATTCTTGTACTCCACACCTTCCAAGGCCAAGTCTGTGACATCTGGCGTGGGCCCCACCAAGGGATGACAAGGATTTGCTTCCTCAGCTGCCCCAGTCGGCCTGGGCTGCCACAGCAAGTGCCATCAATGGGGGACTTCACTGGCAGATGTTTATTTTTTCACGGTTCTAGAGGCTAGAAGGCTGAGATCAGGGGGTCAGCGTGGCCTGTTTCTGCTGCGGCCCCTCTTCTGGGCTTGTAAGCAGGTGCTGGATTGCCGTGTGCTCATGTGGCCTCTGTGCGCTCGGGAAAGAGAGAGCAGGAATGCTCTTTGGTGTCTCGTCCTCCTGGGACATTGGTCCTGTCATATGGGAGTCCCACCCTTATGCCTTCATTTAACCTGAATTACTCCACAAAGGCCCCATCTCCAGATGCTGTCACACTGTGGGTTAGGACTCGCCGTCTGGGCTCGCAGGCCTTGCTGCTTACAAGCTGTGTGACCTTGGTCAGGCCTGTCTCCTGGGGCCTCCATCGTCTCCCCTCTAGAGTGGAGATAATGGTTCTTGCCTCATGGGCTTATTTACCCAGTGGGTGCTACTTCCTGAGGGCCACCTGCCAGGCACCTGACCCTTGGGAATGTGCATAAGAGACACTAAATACCTTGGGCATGAGGACCAAATCAGATCGTGGATCCTGAGTGACACCACCGTCCTTACCCCCAGAGGCAAGGTTCAATATAATGTTGTATTAATAGTTTACTCTTTAAACAGTAGTGCATACTCTCTTTGTTTTCAGTAATTTAAAATAAGGAAGAGGCAACCTGGGTCTGGTCCCTGGTCAGAAAGGGTCTCCGGTGATGGATCAAAAGCAGGTGTGGTCTGGGGCACAGAAGGATGGAACCTAAGGGGAGGGGACTTACCCCAGCATTTCGAGTCAGATTTTTCAGAGACAGGTTCCTTCTCTAAAACTAGTGCTTGATATTATGAGCATATATGTTAGATGAACTTATGTTGGTATTTCAAAGGAGGCCAGTGGCTGAAGAGTCCCAAAGTGAGTTCTGTAATTTACTCATTTTTCATCCACATCTGAAGGCATGTTTGGGATAACAGATGTGAGGCACTGTCATCTCACTGTCACACCGATTGCTCACTGTTCTGAGAAGGTCACATCATCATTCATTAGCAATAATTAGTCCCCGGGCACCCCCTGCACTTCTTCACTCACCTGCTCCATTAACTTGGGTGCAAATCACAAGTTCCAGGTGCCAATCAATGGGCGATCTATCCATAATGTACAAGGTGACGCTATTAGTTACAATATATTAACTGCCTAATTTAAAAATAAAAAAGCTATCTTTATGAAGGGCAATTAACCACTAAGTGTAATTGATCATTCATAAACCTCTGATTAGGAAAGACAAATAATAAGAAAGGAATGAATCACCTGTGCTATTGAAGAAGACGCTGCCAGCCTGTCATCTGCATTCACTATGTGGTCAGTAGATGCAAGCCGCCTAAATTGCACCCGTCAGCTCCAGGGCTGGGGGTCTGGAGGCTCATTTCAGTGCAAAAACATGTGTTTTCACCACCGAAGCCTGTCTGTTTCTGTTGGGGGTTGTGAGGAGGCTGCAAGCTCAGGATACCCTGAGGGAAGTAGTGAGTGAGGGCATTTAGACTTCTCCATCAGTCAGTCATTCAGCAACTGTTTCTGGGGGATTGTGGCTTGCCGAGTCCTGTGGGAAGCCATGGGGATGCCTTGGAGACCTGAACAGATTCATCCCTGAACTCATGGAATTTGTAGGCCAGGAAGAAAGGAAACAAATGCACAAATCAGATGATTGGAGACTGTGGTTCATGTTACAAAGAAAAACTGTGACAGAGACAGGACGGGGGCAACGTTATACAGGATGGCGGGAAGAGGGGACATTGTCCTGAGTCCTGCCACCTTTTCCCAGTTGCCGTCACCGCCGCTGCCACTTGGGGCTGTATTTGGGGCCCTCCCACAGTAGTGGGGAATCGTGCCTGGCTTACCTGCCTTCTTTTTTTTTTTTTTTGAGACAGAGTCTCACTCTGTCACCCCGACTGGAGTGCAGTGACGTGATCTCAGCTCACTGCGACCTCCACCTCCCAGGTTTAAGCAATTCTCCTGCCTTAGCCTCCCGAGTAACTAGGACTAGAGATACCAGCCACCATACCTGGCTAATTTTTTTGTATTTTTAAAAGAGGCAGGGCTTTTCCATGTTTACCAGACTGGTCTCGAACTCCTGGCCTCAAGTGATCCACCCACCTCAGCCTCCCAAAGTGCTGAGATTACAGACGTGAGCCACCGTGCCCCGCCTCATCTGCCCTCTCAGTGGTCCTCCACTCCAGTCTCATTTTCTGGCTGTCCCATCCACATACCCCATGCTGCTCGAGCTCTTTCTATCTGAGAGGATGGGGCCAGTGCATACCTGCCTGTTCACAAGGTGGGTGCCCTTCCCACCACCTGGCCTGCCCGTTCCTGCCATCTCCTTTTCTGTCGCTCAGATCTCCAGGCTGAATCCTCCAATCTTTAAGACCCCACACTGGGCTGTGTCCTTTCCCCACCATGTGGGAGAGCTCCAGGAGCGCAGATTTCCGGTGTCTGACTCCACTCTAAGGAGGTATCAGCTCTGTCTCCAAAGTCTGACTGAAGGGGAGGAACAGAATGCTCTTGACATTTCTGGGATTCAGTTCCCTCACCCATAACATGGGATAAATCACATTCACACTGGGTTGAGCTTGAGTTGAATTTTTGGCTGGGTTTCACTTGCTCAAATAGAAGTTGATTTCAAGCCGTAGTTCTAGGAACTGGGCTGACTCTATGTGTATTCCTTTCATTGGGGCCACATCTGTAAACAAAACTTGAGCACACACCTCCTCTCTGTGTATTTTCTATACATTTTAAATTACACATTTAATACTGCATTACTGTATTGCTTAGATTATAAAAAATGTGCAACTTAGCCAGGTGCGGTGGCTCACGCCTGTAATCCCAGCACTTTGGGAGGCTGAGGCAGGCGGATCACGAGGTCAGGAGTTCGAGACCAGCCTGACCAACGTGGTAAAACCCCATCTCTTAAAAAACATAAAAAATATGCAACTTGAAAGAATGGGTGAAGAGTCAAGATGTCTGCATCTTCAGAGATCAGTGAAATGTATTTGTTTAGGGACCTGTCTGAGAACAGTGCTAGATGCAATTAGCATTGTTGGTTAATTTTACTAGGGTTTCTTTAAAGTGCCTCCTGGCCCTCGGACTTGAAGCTGGATGTCTTTTCCAAGAGTCCACACTGCAGCATGATGCAGATGTCAAGTATGACCACTGCCTTGTTGGGGCCAGTTTGTCCAGGGAGGGCTCTGTGATCTGGGCGAGGGAGCCAGGTCCTCCTTGTCACCCTCGCCCTAGGTCTGAGTGACCCAACCCATCCTCCTCTGCAGGTTCCTATAACACGCTGGGGTCCCTTCCTGGTGGGTGCCAGGCCCTCTAGCCTCCTCTCCCAGCACAGAAACACCAGACCCTGACCTTCCTAGCCCAGCTTGTCACCCTCTGCTCACCCTGTTTATATTCTGCATAGCGCGTCTCTCTTCTCAGTCACAACTTGCCCTTCCTTTGCGGGGACTTTTGTTTGTGCCCACCTCACACTCCACCCTGGATGGTGTCCTGGAGATCAGGACCCTGTCCATGCTCACGGCTACAGCTCTGTGTACCAGGCCTGTGCCAGGCACGTCATAGGCGCTCAGTGACCATTTATAGAAGGGTGGGTGTTGTCTCATTTGGTGCGTTCTGAAAACTTGCCCCGGTGCAGCCCAGATTCGTGGGTCCCCTATGAAGACAGGAGGGAAGAAGCTCGGTGCCACCAGCCATTGGCAGCATCTCAGGTTCACGAGGCCTCCAGGCTGGGTTTGGGCAGGGTCTATGTCCTGTCTGTCTGTTCTGGAAGTGTCCCTGATGACTTTGGCAAACCTTTCTCCATGGATAGTGATGAGAAGACAAACCTTGCCACGGGCCCTATGCCTTTGTACTTTTTGGGAAATATGGATCCAGAGTTAGTAAAGTGCAGCTCACTTGCAGTGGAATTACTAAGTGTGGTGGAAGAGACAGAGAAATAGCTGTGGACACTCAGAGCTGAGTGAGGATTGAGCCTGGCTAAATCACATTCATAGCCTGGCTAGAGATTGTGGAGAGGAGGCATTGCATGGATCTCAGGGGCTGGGGAGAAGTGGCACAGGTGGGCCCAGCATGGTGGCTCATGCCTGGAATCTCAGCACTTTGAGAGGCCAAGGCGGGTGGATCACCTGAGGTCAGGAGTTCGAACTAACCTGGCCAACATGGTGAAACCCTGTCTCTACTAAAAATACAAAAAGCTATCCAGGTGTGGTGGCAAGCGCCTGTAATCCCAGCTATTCTGGAGGCTGAGACAGGAGAATCATTTGAATCTGGGAGGTGGAGGTTGCAGTGAACTGGGATTGTGCCACTACATTCAGCCTGGGTGACAAGAACAAGACTCCTTCTCAAAAATAATTAAAAAAAAATAAAGAAGTGGCCCAGATGGAGAGACGGGGGGACAGAACTGCATCCCAGGCAGGGGGAGAGGCACTGCAAAGGGACCTCAGGAAGCCTCAGGTGTATAAAGTCCAGTGAGGATGGAAAAGGGTTGTCAGGGCATGGTCTGGGGTCCTCTGAGAAGGGGTCTGCTACAGCCCAGAAATCCCAGTGTGTACACACCCGGGGTCAGCCAGGGCCCCCCGGGCTCACAGTGGCCTGGCCTGCTCTGGGCTTTGCTGGCTGCCTTTGGAGAAGCACCGCTCAGCCTCCTTCAGAGGTCCCACCCTCCCGTGCTGACTCCCCGGCCCTGTGTCTCCCTGCTGCAGACTGAAGCGCTCCCAGCTGAAGATCAGGTTCTGCACCAACGAGTCGCAGAAGTCCCGGGCAGAGCTGGTGGGGCAGCTTCGACGGCTGGGATTTGACATCTCTGAGGGGGAGGTGACCGCCCCGGCACCGGCAGCCTGCCAGATCCTGAAGGAGCGAGGCCTGCGACCGCACCTGCTCATCCACGACGGTAGGCCTGCCGGGCGCCAGGACCTCACGGGGGTGAAAGCTCCCATTTCCCAGGGTGGGGGCTGTGCAGAGGGCCTCTGTCACTGGGCTGGACCACTGAGAAGGACATAGAGGTAACACCTGGTTCCTGCCACCAATGCTCATGGGTGGAGGGGTGGAAACCTCATGGGACTTTCTGCTGGGGCTGGGGGCAAGTTAGGACCCAGCCCTGTCCATGCCTTGGCCTCATACCAGAGGCTCCTTAGGGCAGGTTCCAGTTGGCTCCTGGGAGGAAAACCCTAAGCTGTTTTTCCTGATCTAGGATGGACCAAGGGTCCAGGGAATTTTTCAAGGGGGCGGAGTTCTGGCTCCCGTTGAGAAAGAGACAGAGAGAGAATATAAATGAGAAGCTGCATTGAGCTCCATAGCTTCTAATGTTCTAATGTCTGGCACTATAGCCTTGAACTATGTGAAAACAGTCCTGCTCTTTGGAACAGTTTGGAAACGGCCGTAAGAACAAGATTTGCATCCTGATTTTAGTCTAACTGTGAGAACAGAGCCCGTTTGACCCTCAGTGGGGAGTTTTTTTTTTTTTTGGAACAAAGCAGAAGGAACAATATTATCTGGTGCCTTCTGAATATTTAAAAAGAGGAGACATTAGCAATTCCGGACACTTCTCCATTGGTCCACTGCGCCCTCTTCCTTCCTGCTCACTTGATATTCTTATTTTTACAAACCACTAGGCAGAGGCAAGCGTGCTTTTTGCCTTTCCAGGGCAAGGTGGGGGCTCTCAAGAAGTGGCAGGTGCTCCCTGGAAAGTCCAAATGTCAACTTCATAGCCCTGGGGCTGGTTAAAGGTGACACGCCTGGCCTTTGGAAATCATATTTCTCAAAATTCTTTCTCTGTAATCTAGGATCCCTGCTAGTGTCTTTAGAACATGGTCTTCAAAGAAAGAAGATTTAGGACAAATTGTCTTCCCCCAGCCTCCAGAACAGGGTTGCTGGACATGGGAGTGGAGCTGAAGAAGCCGGCAGGAGAGGGAGGGGGCATCTGCTTGGAGGGTGGCCTTGGCCAGTGAATCAGACAAGCAGACGGCACAGCTGGGAGGCTGGAGGGAGGATGCCCTTCCTCAGCTCTAATCCCGCTCTGTGTTTTCAATAACTACAGCTGTGTTTTCAGACTTGGAATTTCTTTTGAATCATTGATGGATTTTCTGTCTAACATTTTATGAAAAATTTCAAGCATACAGCAAAGTTCAAAGAATTTTTACTTGGAATAGTTTTTTCTTTGAGATAGAGTCTCACTGTCACCCAGGCTGGAGCGCAGCAGTGGTATGATCTTGGCTCCCTGTGACCTCTGCTTCCTGGGTTCAAGCGATTCTCCTGCCTCAGCCTCCCACATAGCTGGGTTTACAGGTATGCGCCATCACACCTGACTAATTTTTGTATTTTTAGTAGAGATGGAGTTTCCCCCTGTTGGCCAGGCTGGTCTTGAACTCCTGACCCCAGGTGATCCACCCCCCCTTGGCCCCACAAAGTACTGGGATTACAGGCGTGAGCCACGGTGCCTGGCCTTACTTGGCATAGTTTTATACCCTTCACGTAAATTGTCAATGATATTTTTTGATATTTTCTTCACTATGTATCCATCCATCTTCCATCTATCCATGTTATTATTTAGAGGCATTTCAGAGTAAAATGCAGACATAGGTATGCACCCCGAAACTCTTCAGCATATCATTAGAGTTTGGTATTTGTTTATAGTTTTTCCTGTTGATGTGAAATTTACAAACAATGAAATGTACAAACCTCAAGGGTACTTTTGCTGAGTTTTGACAAATGCCTGCACCCGTGGAACCCAACCTCAGCAACATCTGGACCATCACCGTCACTGACAGCTCTGACAGCTGCTTCATGCCTTCCCGGGTGGTCTCCACCCCTTGCCTCCTTGGAGGCAACCACTGTTTTGATTTTTTCCATTATAAATAAGTTATCCTATTCTAGAATCTTATGTAAATAGGATCATACAATATAGAATTGTGTTGGGGCCTCCAGTGCCACCCCCAGGCTGAGTGATTCATTAGAAGGACTCACAGAACTCAGAAAAGCTGTTACACTCACAGTTAGATGTATTATCGTGAAAGAATAAAGATTAAATTCAGCAAAGAGAGGAGGCACATGGGCCAGAGCCTAGGAGAAGCCAGGCGTGAGCTTCCAGTTGTCCCTTCAACTTGGAATCCTACTGGGGCACGCTTGATTCTTCCAGCAATGATGTGTGACAACCTGGGAAGTGTTGGCCACCAGGGATGCTCACGGGAGCCTCAGTGTCCAGGGTTTTCGTGTAGGCATTAGCACCTGTGTGACTGACCTTAGTGACTCAGTCTCCAGCCCTCCAGGGTCCAAACTGGTACAGCTTGGCCAGGGCCTCAGGCATGCAGAAACAAGCATTCACTGCAAGCCAAGCTGTTAGCACCCAGGGCCCACAGCCTTGGGCATACAAAACACGTTTTACCAGGTAGGATATTGTGAGGGCTCAGGGGTTATCTCCTGGGAGCCAGTCCTGAAGACAAGCCTGTTTTGGAATGTGTAGGGTTTGAGCAGCAGTCCTGGCAAGTTAACCCTTTTCTTTACAGTAGTCTTTCGTGTAAGGATTCTTTTTTTTTTTTTTTTTTTTTTTTTTTTGGAACTTATAGTCTGTTCTAGTGAACAGAG